GTGCCTACTGCTCACTTCAGATTGGCAATTTACTTTTAATTAGTCTGCTTAGGGAAATGTAGCCTTAGTGATGTTGAGATGATGTTGAAGGCACATACGTGTCTGCTGAGTAATTACGTGTACTTTCCACCAGCTGCTCATGCTTCATTTCTTGTGTTATGTAACAGGGAGCACTGCTATGTTTTAAGGATTAGTTCCCTGTTGATACTGAAGCTTCCAGTCTTTAGATGTAGTTAAAGCAACCCAATGTAACCCAGAAATTAACTTCAGTATTTCCCTGTCATATGGTTGAAAAGACTTGGGCATCTGCTTGATAATTTGTCGTGTTTGTTCCCATCGATGTGAGTTTCATTTTAGCTTTTAAATATTTTAATTAATGTTTAGAGAGCTCTTAGACATAACTGAGTAAATTTGAACAGAACATATATTTGCCATTGTCTGGAAGGGGTTGGATGCTGAGTTTCAAGATGTTTCATTCTAAATCAATTATATTAAGCAGCATGGAAGGTGTTAACTACAACAGCAGTATTGTAGGTAGAAGTGAAATTGTGTAGAGTCCTTTCACTTCTCTTCAGGTGCTCCTCTGTAGGCATTAGGAGAAATGTAGGGAGAAGACTCAGTGCATTACTTCAACAGCTTTTGCTTTTGGAGCATCATGTTCCAGTCCAAGCAGCTATGAAGCCTTGGAATGAGGCACGAAGATCTCTGCCAACGTGCAGAAGTGGAATCAAACCAATGCTGCAACTTCTGAAGTAGTGGGTTTAAAAATAAGCTGTGCAAAACCAAAAATGCAAACACCTTTCTGCACTAAATAAATCTATGTGATGTCAGTTCAGTTTTATTTCTGCACTTAACTTCTATTGCAAATCATAGCAACACACATCCCAAAGCCCGGTGAGTTTTTGTTGTCAGAGTAACAAGCTGCAGACCCACGAGGTGTGTTTTATCTGTGGTACCTCTCCTGGGTTCACTGCTTGCCAGTCCAAAGATGTCCGAAAGAGACCGGCCAGCTTCCATTTATTATAGCCATACACTGACGAATGTGTTTGATGTGATTTCTTTGGCTCAGTTGTTGCTGCAAGTGTTGTTCACCCTCTGAAAACACCTAGTCCACATTTCATGAGGTTCCTAAAAATACACATGCAATAAAAACAGTGACAGATTCTTGTAGTGTCACTCAAGCCTGATGTTTTGTTTAATGTCTTTTCTTTTACCTTTACTGTGAGGTACATTTTCTTCATATCTCAGAATTAGTGTTTCCTTCAAGTGCTTCAGCTGGAGCATGAACAAATGTGCTCAGCTATGCTGTGACCAGGCAGCAGGACTCTCCGTGAGTATTTTTTCATTCATTTGAACCCACGGTACGTTTGCTGTTACCTTTTTTGGTGGTGCCGTGCGTGGAGTAGTTTGTGTGTCACTCCTATATTGTCAGAATCCCATAGTTTTTCTCCACTGGCCTGTTATCTTTTTTTAAGTAGCAGTTCTTTGTTTCTGCGAATGCCCTTGAGGTAAAAAAGTGCTTTGTGCTTCTCTGTGGGTTGCTGCAACAGAAAAAGAAAAGCCACTGAAGCATATAGTACTATCCTTCTTTCACAGGAGTTGCTGTTACGTTGACATACCGTAGCTGAGGACTTGGGATGCAACGACACCAATGCAGCCATATGATCTTTAACTACTGCCAGGAAATTTCCATAAGCAAATGCCCTCAAAGCCATCTGTTGTGCCCTGGCCACAGTCACGATTGCTTGGAGGCAAGGAAACGAGGGCTGTGCAGTCAAGAATTGCAGTTGTTGTCTTGGAACAGCTCTTTAATCAGAGGATGCTCTTTCACCTTGGGTGTAGTGTTAACAGATGGAAAGGGGCACTCCTGGTCTCCCACCACCCACCCTTCTCCTGGAGCCTTGCTTCCAGCTCTGCAGCATGTCCACAATTGTGGAGGTCCACGTGAGAGTTTGGCTCCCAAATAGGTTGGAAAACTGGTGCTATTTTTCTCTGAGATTGGTTTGCTGAAGCAGCACATGCTGCAGCTTTCCAATTGCTGGACCTGATGACACAAGTGGCAGAAGCACATGGAGTGGTGGGAAGAGGTCAGACTACTACTTTTGGCAGCAGCTGGCCAATAATATAAAAGAGATGTAACATGAAACTGCATCCAGCTAGAAATAGAAGGCAGGAAGTGATAGACAGTGCATCACTCACAGCAGAATGTATGAAATGCAGAGATGATAATCCGCAAACTGGGACAGACTGAGTAGATCTGGTAGGCAGAGCTTAGCAGAAAGGAAACAGAGACCCAGAGGCTGTTCTCCTAGAATTTGCTCTTGAAGTTTGTAGCAAAAATGAACTAGAACCTTCCCAGGGATGTGTGCATCCTGCAGCGTAGTCTGAAGTCTGAATGTGATGGCCTGGAGTTTGTTAGACTTCTGCAGATTTTCTGTTTTGGTGTTCATATTTTTAGACTGGGGTTGCACTTTGGAGTTGTTGAAAAGGCATGGGGTTGTTCTGAGCTCCAGAGGCATTGCAGTATTTTGGCAATGCTTTGGAAGCTGTGCAAGAGGTGATTGCATTGGAGGTATTTCAGCCTGCTGGGAAGGCTGGTGGCTTTCCTAAGCTGTCGCCACACTATTTCAGAAAATGGAACTCTGTTTCTTAAAGCTGGCTTGACTTTATGAGATGCTTTTTCGTCTTGCTATGGTTTCATGTCCACTCATCACAAAAGGATTTCATTATGGTAAGCCCCATTGCAGTGCATGTTGGAGCATTTTGTAGCTGCAGGATTGTGGAGGCAGGCAGAGGCTGCTGGAGGCAGGTGAGGCAAAGCCAGGTCTGCAAGAGCTGGATGCCCAGGGCCCTACTTGGTGAGGGTATGGGCATCTCTGGGATGCAGGCTGCACAGCCTCTTGGGCAATGCGTGCCCATGTGTCATCATGCTTAAAAGATAGGGAAAAGATTTTCTTACTGTAGTTTGTGCCCATTGACTCTTGTCCTGCTGCTGGTGCTGCTGGGAAGGGGCTGCCTTTGTCTTCTGCATGTCCCCCTGCCGGGTGTCTGCACATGGATAGGATTCCCCTGAGCTCTCCCTGCTCATGATTGAAACAAGCTCCAGCTTGTTCCAGCCTCCTACATATGCACACAGATAGGTATATGAGATGCCATGTAAATACATACACACCTGCACACACAGGTAAATCATGCAGGCCCTTTGGGGTGGTGGCAAGTTCTTGATGGCCAAAAGCCTAGCAGTGCTGCTGGGGCTGTTGCCCTTCAGGGCAGTGCTTCAGCCACTTCACCACACTGCAGTCTGTTTGCTTGAACTTCTGCTATCCCAAACTCACAGTAAGTGAGTGCTGGACTTCCCTCGGGAGCCCTGCTCTGCTGCTCACCCCCTGCAAGTGCCCTCACCCTCTCCCAGCTGAGAGCCCATCAGCAGCCAGTTGGGGAGGAGTGCAGAGCATTATTTCTTCTTAGCCAGAGGCTAGTTCCAGGTAAGAAAGATGCTGGCCATTAATAAATATGGCTCGAATGTTGGACAGAGGTTTTATTTTGTCTTCAGGAGTGCTAGCTTGTATAAGAGCCTTCTAAGAATGACTCATTCTAATAGCTGAGCAGAAAGAACAGTTTTTAGATACCATTTGCAGAATTTATTATTTACTAAGTAACACGGTTTATCCCTTCAAGCAGATTTTTTAAGGGCTTTCTAGGAGGCTAAATCCAGCTCTCTGTTCTATGAGGGCAGAGGCATTTCTGGAATAATGTTTCATCATAAGTCACGAGATAGGCTTTTTTCCTTATGTTTCTAGGCCACTTCTGCTTTTCTGCCCTCGTCTCAGGGCAGCTTGGGGTTCAGCTGGTTGGTTTTGAGGCAGCAGTCTGTGTTGTACTGCCATCCTCCAGGTGTGCAGCTTCATCAGATAAACAGCACGTGGCAGGGAGGAGCTGGTCACTGTGGGCTGATTTTGGTACCCAGTGGCAGCTCAGCCTATACTAGTAATGCCTTGCAGTGGGTATTTTTCTAAGGTAATCTTGTTGCACTTTTAGCAGGACTGCAGTCCAGATACAGAATTGTGCATATGTACAAGTGTGATTCATGAATGCACAAACCAAAGTTTTCCAAATGATTTCTTGGCCAAATGCAGGCAGTTTTCCCTGAAGAAGCATTGTGCGTTATGTAAGATAATAACATCCTTGATCCCAAACAGAGTCTCAGTTTCCAAAAGGCAGTGGAGAAGGAGGAACCGTGGCTTGCTGGAGTCAGAAGTCAGTCTTTCTGGCTTTGCAAAACCACTCCAGTCGCTGTGTTCCTGAACCATTTGCTTGCATTTTCAAACCAAACAAGGTTTGCTTGTCAGACATGCAAATCTGAGCCCAGGAGGGTAAGGATTGGCAAAGCTATAAGCAAGGGACAGCAGGATTCTGTGACAGAGTGATGTGTGTTCTGGTGGTAAATGTAGGATTACCAAACATGGGAGCCTAAGGATGGCTGTACATGAAGGTTACTGTGAAAGTGGGGTTTTTCTGTGTTTCAGAACTCGTGCTTGTTTTGTAGTCAGTGATTTGCATCGGCTTGTTATGGTCATATTTGGGAGGAAAGTCAGGCTTGCAGAGCATTTGCTGCTGTTTTTTCCTCATGGTTGTGTTAGACATTAAGCTGCTTCTTTCTGTTTGTACTGTGAGGAATTCTCAGTGTGGCTTGTGCTCACCTTTTCAAAGTGTGCATTTAATTGAAATGTAAAGAACATTCTTGTGTTACCTAACAATCAGTTTCAAACACAAATAATGATTTATTCTTTACCTTTTCAAATGTGTAGAATAAGTTGTTATAAATCGTGTTCCCACTGTCACTGTAATCTGTTGACTATAGAGCTGGGCTGTGGAAAAGGGGGTTTAATACAGAGGGATAGACTGGGGGGGAGCTGCTCAAATCTCACCTTGTAACTTAAGTTTGTATGTATTCAACACAGAAAAAATAATTTCCTGTGTTTTGTTGTTTTTTTTTTTAGCCTTCTGTTGAGTCTTCAAGTCCAGGTAAGAATTTCTGACGTTTCCTAAACTTGTGGGGGAAGAGGGTATCTTCAAAAATTCTCCCTTGGGGTCTTTTCCAGTTGTAACCTAAGGCTGTGGTCTGATGAGTTCAGAGTAAGCATGGAGTCAAAGGCACTGTGTGCTCCCAGTTGTGAGATAACACCATTGCTGTATGGTCTTATACACAAAAGCAGCAAGGAAAGCAGTATTTTTTTCCCTCTAGGCTTGCTAAGAATGAGGAGCTTCATGCCTTCTGCTTTTAAAACTGGTTATTTCCTGATATTTTGGTGTCCCAGAGTTCCTGGCATTTAATAATCAGCTGAAACATAAACTATGAATCTATTTTTTATAGCTCGATACTGCTCTAGTTGGTGATGTTTATTTCAGAGGATTTGGGCATCCTTCTGGTGGAAAAGCTTTCCAGTACTGACTTTAGCTGGACTGCTGTTGTATCTGGAGCTCTCACTGCTTTGAAGAAACCATCCATCACTTGCACTCCTCCAAGTACAAAGCAGAGCTAGCCCTAGCCCTCCCTCTTGTGCCCATAGAGGTGGTACCATCTTTCAGCTTTGCAAAATGAAATATAAGTTCATGGAGACGATGGTAAAATGTGAGCAGGGCTAGAATGAGAACTCAGGTATTGCTGGGTTACACCTAATGCTGCCTCTGCCAAACCCTTCATTCGCTCATTTTTCACTGTCACAAAACGTAACCACGTTGTTCTGCACGGAACTGGCAAGAAAAGCACATAGAGAAAAATAGCTAAGAGTTTGGCATCAGAAATAGAATCCATGTAATTGTGAAGCTTACTTGAGGTTTACATTTTGGAAGAGTCGTCAGATTGTCTTTGTAGCTGTAAAAAGGAAAGCTTGCAAGGTATCAAGGAAACAACTGTCCCGACTTTATGTTTGGAGTGTGACTGCTCCCAGTAGAACTCCTGGTACAAACAGATTGGTGATGAGTAGGAAATCTTTAAACCAGCACGTTTTACAGATGTTTAAGTAGGGACCTGATGTGCAGCGCTGTCGCAGGGCAGGAGGTGGCTCAGTGCTCTCCCCAGTCTCTTCCATGAGCACCCACAGGATGGCTTCTGCTGCCCTCTGAGCAGTGCTGCTGGCTTTCCCTTGATGAACGGGTGAGGGATTTTGAAGATATTTTAATTTCTCAGTTTAATTTGAGTGTTCAAGAATCACCAAAATAAAAACATACTAAAAAAAACCTAAGCTCTAACTAAAAAAAATTCTTTAAAATGTTTTCCATCAGGAGGTTCAGCAACATCTGATGACCATGAATTTGATCCATCAGCTGATATGCTGGTGCATGACTTTGATGATGAACGGACATTAGAAGAGGAGGAAATGATGGAAGGAGAAAGAAACTTCAATTCTGAAATAGAGGATCTTAACAGGGTAGGTAGCATTAAGTAGTCATAAAACATAACTACAGCTCACAGTCTTAAGCAAAACACGTGCAGGTTTTTTTCCCTAATATTTGGGATTAAAACAAACCAAACCGCCCCTAAAACACTAATAGGCAAATAACATAGATGGGGAAAAGGGGCTGAGCTAAATATGCAGTTCCCAAAAGTTGGGAGGGGGGAAGTGCTGCATAAATACTGAATAATGCATAACACTGGGCTTGTTTAGTTTCTTCTTGTATAAATGTGCTGGGATGTGATTTGCCTTTTAGAGCTAATAGGAGGCAAAGTGTGCTCCGCCCCAACTTGTGTCTCCCAGTCGTACTGTTTGCTAGAGCATTTGCACTTGATTAGTGCATGTAGATTTTGATTTGAAAAGGTCTGGTAATTTTACATTCCTTTTGCTGTTCTGTACGGCGTTCATTCACTTAACCCTGCAGTGGGGAAGATAGCAGTGCCTTCCTTTGTTAAGGTGGAGAAAACAGAGACGTAGATAAATGATTTGCTCAGTGCAAAAAGTTGTCAGCAGGGCTCGGCGTGGAACTCCCACATGCTGATAGTAGTGATAAACTCATTGTAAAATATGTGTCTTAAGAAATAATTGCCTGTGAGATTTATTTGGCGTTTTGAGGTTATGCTGTCACTTACATACTGCTTTAAATTGCTTCCTAGCCAGGAATCATGTTCTTAAACTACAATCCAGGTTCATTATCAATGCAAAGTAATGTAGATACTGTCTGTGACCTCCCTGGCTGAAAAGGCTTCTGGAATAGATCATTAATGGTTTTTAAATGCCTGTTTGATGTACAAATCCTGCTTAGCATAAGTGATCTTACCAGTATGGCATTAAATTAATAGAGTATGTTTATTCTGCATTTTGGCTGTAAATGATGATTTCTTCCTGGTGATTCCACAGTTGATGTTAAATGGTAAAGATAAATAAATTGCACGCAAATTAAATGTTTAGATTAAGTGGGAAATGGAGCTCCACGAGTGTCATATTTTTAAGTTCAAAATGTGTTTTTCCTCATAACTTGTGAGGAGCCCCCATCTGGCTGTGTAATCCTACCACCACATCACACTGCTTTGTTTGTAAGTGTACGTCAGCAGTCAGAGCATTCCCTCACATCCTGGCTGCGGGCACTGCAGGCTTTTGGTTTCTGCACATGTCTGTGACAGGACAGCAGCTGCTGTGGTAACTGAGCTCCTGTGCTGCTCTTCTCTGGAGGACACCATCCCAGGCCGGCGCAGGAACATCAGCCATTTCTGGGGTGTTGAAAGTAGAGCTTTTCCTGCCTTTCAGATGTTCTCACTGCAGCAGGATTTCTGCTTGTGGGATGGCAGGCCGCGCATCAAAGCTTGCTTCTCTCTCCTTTCTTGTCCTTCTCTTTTCATTCTTCAGTCGCACCTTTTCTTAAGCACGGATGATAGACAGCCTAAGTCTCAACACTACTGGCAAGACAAGTGCTATCCTGTCTTTTCCTTTCCCCAGACACTTACATGTATTACTTCAGATTTCCCCAGGCTGTGAATGTGCCAGATTTCCTTGCTCAGCTCCTTCGGAGGTGAGATGGCAGTCCAGTTGCACAGAGGCACCTCACTGGTTTAACTCCTGAGTGCCAGAAAAACTACACGTTCCTTGGAGGAAGTGAATCTTTTCTACTCACTGTTTGAAGCTCCATAATCCTGCTTTATCCCCAGGAACAGCCACAGCAGATCTGTCCAGAGCCCTGGCTGCACTGCCCTGGTTGCACTGCCCTGGCTGCAGTGCGTGGCCAGGCCCCAGCATGCTGCAGAGAGGCACTTTTCTCCTCTCCCCCTGGATCCCACTTCTCAGGAGGGCTTCTGGGTTTCTTTAGTGTTATACAGCAGCATCGTGGTCTCTTTAAATGAGAGACCCATACGTGGAGGCACACAGTGTTTCTCCAGATACTCTCCCAGCCTCTGGCAGGGTGCAGCTCAGGCACGTAGGGAACAGATGCTGTCTCCCTGTAATGCCTCTGTTTTTTTTTCCCCTTCCTTGGATTTGTCCATTGGATTTCTAACCTCTGTAAACTTTGTGTCCATGAGGCATGTGGCAGTGTTGCACAGTTCATTTGGTGTGAGGTGTGTGTTTGGTTTTTATCAGGTGTGTTTTGTGTTTGTTTCAGAGGTCGCCCCTAAGCTCCTCATTTAGAAGAGTGTCGTTGTTTCTCTTGCTCCTCTCTGTGCTCCTCCTTATGAAGCAGTTCTCTGTTACACCACTCCTCCTCACCTACCTCTACTCCAGATACATGACTTATAACCCATTTCTTGTTACTAAACATCTCCCACATGAGAAATTTCTGTGCCATTGATCATCCATGTTACTTTTTTTTTACCTCTGTTTCTGCAGTGTCCCAGAACAACACAGAACTCACAACTGTGGTACCAAAAGTGTTGCATCTTTGGGAGTTGCTGACACTCAGAACTTTTTGAGCTGTCAAGGGCTGTGTCAGGGCTCTACCTAGGAAAAAGGTTCTAAATACACCATGAATTTCCTCTAACATGGAGTAACCCACCAGCTGCGTAATTCACACCTATCTACAACCCATAGTAAAGTTCTTTCTAGTTCTGGATTTGTACTTTCTAACAAGAGGATGGTCTCATGAAAGTTTTGCTCTCAAAAATGCACTGGAAGACATAAGTTTGGATTGCTGTGACAGCTGTGCTGTAAGGTTTTAATGATGGTCGCAGTCCTGTTGTGTTGTCCACATGTGTAAAACAGGAATTCCTCGCTTCTGAGAGTTCACTGCATAAAATACAAGAAATTAAGGGGGAGAATGAGGAGATCAAGTGCCACATGTTCCACGTCTGTGTAAATAGCTGAACTGAAGACTGGGCCAGTAAGTGGCTGAAAGGCTTAGTACTTCAGAGTAACACAAAATGCATAGACAAGGAGTGTAGGTAAGCCCTGTGTGACTGCTGGTTTTACATGGCAGAACTAATACACTTGCCTTTTGTAAAAGGTGCTGATGGGGAGATGAATTAAGCTCTTAGGAGAGGAGTTCAGTGGCAGAAGTGTGGGGCCAGCAGACAGCTAATAATCTGATCATCAGCCAGGGCTTGCATTACATCCTGAGAAGTGGTGTTTGGAGCAGCTGTGCGCACCTCTGAATGATGAACGAGGGATTTGATCTCGTGAGAGAGGTGATTTTAAAATGCTTTTAGAACATCCTCTAGGGATGCCATATCCTGCCCCTAAAGGAAGGATCCTGAGGTATTGAAAGTACTGAAGTAACTCATTTGTGGACCTGGCAATTAATAATTTGTGTTAATAAAATGAATGCAATCGATAACAGTTTGGGAGCCACTAAACTTGAGGTCTGTCTGTATCCTTTGAAGTATCTCTTCAGAACAGGCCAGAATTCTACATGTGAAGATTTTTAAATGACTGCATATTTCAGTAGATTTTCTTCCCAAGTGTGTTTGCCTTTGTAGACAACAACATTAAACACTTTTTGATTTTAAATGAGGAAGTACGTATGTATCTGTGAGCGGTGCTGTCTTCACCTGGATGTCAGCTGATCCTGAAGATAAAGTCATCCATTACCTCCATCCAGCCCCTCAATTTCATTTTGTATTTCTCCTCTGGGGAGAGATAAAGAGATGGTGAGGTGCATTTTTTTGTTATTTTGTGTAAGCTGAGGTTGTAGGGCTGCGTGGTGCTGTTCCTATGGAGCAATTCCCCAGACAAAGGTTTGACTCCATGCTCAAGCCCTGCACTGCAAGTTCTGCTGACTCACATTTTCTCTGTTTTTTCTTTTTTAATAAATAAGCACAAAATGCTGCACATTTTTTCAGTAGTTTTTAGGCAGCAAATGCAATATTTATATCAATTTATACTCCAGTTTGCTCTGTATATACACTGAAAAGTTTGTGATGTGTAGACCACAGGTCATACTTGACAGCCAGAATAATGCATTCAAATAATCTTGGAGGTGTTCAAGACCAGGTTGGATGGAGCCCTGGGCAGCCTGGTCTATAGCAGATCTGGAGGTTGGTGGCCCTGCCTGGGGCAGGGGATCAGAACTCGGTGATCCTTGGGATCCCTTCCAACCCAAGCCATTCAATGATTCTGTGCATCTCTGCCATGCTCTGTCCCAAGGTCATCTTAGAGCTGGGCACAGAGCAGGCTGCAGGCTGCATGATTGCCAGAGCACACTGTTGCATGGCTGGTTGGACATCAGACTGCTCCTAGGAGTAGTGGCAAGCTTCATCTGATGCTGAAATGGATGACACCCATGATAAATACGTGCCTTGTCATTTCATAGGCATAGATTCATCCCAGGGTTGTAGCTATATAACCAGGTGTAACTGCCACGTGGCAGTGGTTGTGTTTTGGTCAGATAGTAAGCAAACACCAAGAAGGGCAATGGGGCGTATGGCCCCCTGGTACCTTTTTAATGAACTTTGTGGCCCTGCTGAGAGTTTGTGATGCAAGGGTTCCACTGTAAGCTTATAAAGGATTAGGAAATAAAATATTTTGTTGCCTAAAAGGCCACACGTTTTTCCTAGGAGCCAAAACTTCTGACTGTCTCTTCACTTTAGAGAAGCTCTTCCTAGTATACCTGGTCATCAGTTATCTGTTTTTGTCGTGTTGTGTTTAAAAAGCACACCTTTAAGCTGTAGAGCAGATGTGGGATGTGAAGTACTTTGGCTAAACCTCCAACTTTGTTTGGGTGTTTATCAGGAAAGCGATATGCCAATCCAGGAGCTGCTTAGCCTTTATGGCTATGATGGCACCATTCCACTCCAAGAAGATGATGATGAGGAAGATGAGGAAGAGGAAGAGGAGGAGGGAGAAGATGATGATGATGTTGATAACGATGACAACAGTGGCTGCAGTGCTGAAAACAAAGTAAGTGTTCATGCCAGCTTACAACTGATTTTCATACAGCTGTTCTTAGGTCGACAAGCATTCAAAGCGCCAGATCGCAGCAGAAGTAAATCATCACACAGCTGATTTCGGATGCTCTGTGTACTGAAGTCTAGCAGTTATTTTTAATTACCCTTTTATATTTCTCTTAATTACTCTGCATTTAATCTGCATCATGCCAAACTCCTGCTGAGGCAAATTAGAGTGCGTGTGTACATACAGCATCATGTCAGAAGGGATTATGCTGTCCTTCAGAAAGACTGTCTGGTTTAAAACCTGGAATTTTAAATGCCTGAAGGTTCCTTTGTGGCTGTGGCTGAATGCTTGTTTCAAGATGAGAGCTGATCTACTGAAACTGAACAGTGCAGTGTGGAGTTGCAGCAGCCTCCAGTGCTCACAGATGCATCTTTAAATTCAGGTCTTCAAACTTCAGCTTTTTAAGTTATATTTTTTTCAGCCCGGCAGTAATTAGCCTGCTTGCATTTAAATTGTTAATTAAATCTAATGCTTCAAATACCTTCAACAAATGTGAAGTTTTGAACTTAGAGTCTTTAGAATCCTGTCCTTTATGCTCTTATAACAAATTATCTGATTATAGGAGGGTCTTTTCTACTTATGTATGTCGTATGTACTTGTACTAATCCCATCTTGTCATGGGTACAGCTGTAGCTTCTCCATTACTGGTGCTGCTCAGAGTTGCTTCCTGATACCATTAAAATATGGAAACCTTTGTACTGTCAGTAACAAAAAAAAACAACCCATAGGCATTAATGGAAGTCGAATTACCTAAGCTGGATTTAAAACGAATACATTTTCTTCTTTGACATTTTACCCATTTTAGAATGTCTGGAATGAGACAGAATGGAATGACCTTTCTGCTCGATTCCAAAAGTGCCGTAAAATATTGCTTATTGTTTGCATAGGCTGAATGGTTCAAAAAGAAGAAAATTACATAGTTGTGTTGCATTAGGAGGGCTTCAAGAAGCTAGAGATGGGGAGAAACTTACATAACAGGAATATCCAAAATTAAAGTAAGACACAAAAGCATTTGATTTTGTGGTGCACAGCAGCATTCACAAAGTCCCACTTGCTTCTTGTGCCTTTGCTTCTTAATTGCTTCCTGACAAAACTGCCATCTTCTCTGCTCTCCCGGCCTCCTTCATAGTTGTCCAGTCCTGCTACTGGTTGGTTGAAGGTCTTTTCTCTGGAGTGCATGGCTTTCCTGTGTCTGTCATTGCTGAGATGATAGCAGTGAGGGGAGGGATGTCTGCCCCCCTGCAGGGGCACGCTTTGCAGTATGCTGCAGAAGAGAAGATATTCGTGCAGCAGCACACCAGGTGGGGTAAGCAGAGCCCAGCCAGCAGCTCGGCCTGATTGCAGCCCTGTGCCTGCATTTGAACGGCAAGTCTGTGTTGAGTTGCTCAGCCCCAGCTTAGGTAGGGATGGAACAAAAGTGATAAGGAGGATTGGGCACAAAGAGCACTGGGCAGCCTGTCAGGGTGTTGTGCCCTGGGCTGCAAGAATGAGTGCTCTAGAATTACTCACATGCTTTTAGCAGAGAGGCAGTAAAATACATCTGTGGGGGTGGAATCGTTTTATAAATCATTCAGGCTTTCTCTGTGAGGGCACATCTTTCTACAGCTTATTTAGCTATACTGCACTTAGCTGTTTTCTATTTTTAAGCTGCTTTAAGCTGCACATGTGATTACACTGTGATGCTGTTAGAGGTACACATAAACATGTGTCGTGCCCTGTGCTTGTGTCAGAGCTAGCAAGTAGGAGTGCTTACAACAGCCATAAAACCCAGACACGCTCCGGACAACACACACCATAGAAATCTAATGCATTTTTTAACCATTATCATCTTGTTCTTCACTAAGTGTAATAATTGCCATTGTTGTTGTGACTTCTTTTCTAATAAAGAAACTGGTTCTTGTTTTTTGACCTTTTGGTGGCTGGATGTACAAACACACAGCGTGTCGAGCTGACCGATTCCTGTTGGGTAGAACCACACTGTTGACATTTATTTTTGTGGAACATACAGTTTCTGTTTGACTGAGAAAAGTATCTTTGTACTGCTCTTTGTGCTGAAAAATCACAAGGAAGGGCTTTGAAGACTGAAGTAAAACATAAAGTTAAATGAAATTAGATGAAAACCACAAGGATTTGCTCGACTCATTGTAGAGCTAGACATGGTGTTCAGCTGTGCTTCAAGTTTCTGATCTGTGCGTTAGAGTTCGAGTGCTAAATCTGATCTGCTTAAAATCGTGGTCAATAAAGAACACCACGTGCTTACGTCTTTGTTGTGGCTCGGTGTGGACAGACTACACCCTGTACAACAGCCACTGCAAGTCAGATAGACAATGGCTATTTGGTTTGGTGTGTTGGCAATTTTGGAAAAAATACTGCCCAAATAGTGTTTCTCACGCACAAGCTGTAGCTCACCTCCTCTTTGTTTCTTTATATTTCAGGAGGAGACCATAAAGGATTCATCAGGTCAGGAAGATGAGACGCAGTCATCGAATGATGACCCAGCACCATCAGTTGCTTCTCAAGATCCACAGGAGTTGATTCGCCCTCGTCGATGTAAATATTTCGATACAAGTACGTACAGCTTGGCACTAAGCACAGCTACCTCAAAATGATTGATTCTGTGCTTTCAGACTGCTCAGTTAGTTAAGCAGTATTCTGTTTCTGAAGTATGCATCCAGATACCTGTGGACGTGTGTTTGTTCTCTTAGCACTGGTTTTGATTACCATTACATTCAGTGGGCAACCAGAAATTCGTATTGTTAGCTGAACACTACAGTTTCTCCCCAGATAAGGTGTTCTCTGTGGGAGCAGATGCTCTCTTCTTAAAGAATTAATTTGTGGAAAAATGTTTTGAAAAAGCATCTCCAACAGCACAACTCCTTTTGTTCCATGACACTCACATACTGGCTTGTACAGGTGTGCCCTTCAGGAAGAGATCTTTACGTGCAGAATCCAGGTGCAGTAAACTGCTTCAGAGACTGAATTGTACAGTGAGGAATGTGATCTAACAAATACTCCTCTATGGAATCCATAGCCTGTGTGCTGCTAAGCTGTGTGATGGCAGCATTTAGCAGGGAATCAGCAGCACCTGCCTGTTCTGTGTGGTATTACCTTCATGTTGGAGCTCTGGCTGCCTGCTCTCGCTCAGGACTGCATTATTTTAATCCAAAACCATCAAGGAACCTCAACATGCAGCCATGCAGAGGGTTGCAAATATCTCAAATGAGCTCTTATTTTTAGACTTTAGGATGACACACGTGTATTGCACTAGCTTTGGAGTTTTTACAGCGTTCAGCTATATATAAAATATAGTTTGATGTGTAAATCATTTTAGTGCTGATGTTCTCACTTGCTGTACATGAACCAGGTATTGTGGTTGCTTTTGCTTCATTGTGAATGGCACCTACCCCATATCCTAAAATTGTTGTCAGCCCTTATCCTAAGCAATTTGATTGAAGCACTGCTTTACATCTCTGAGCAGAACATCCTATTAATCACAGTGAAGCTGACAGAAGCACGCTTGTGAATTTCTTGTGTGTTGTGCTGTAGTTTACCTTAAATTCAGTGGCAGCTGCTGTAAGGGAGAGAGTATGGCAGCAACAAAGCGGGGAGCTCATGGAGAACGGGGTTGGAATCCACGTGTGGATGCTGAAGGTGCATGCAAGAATACTTTCAGGATGTAACTGCGTGTAGTAAAGGTGGATCATCTCAACTGCTTCGCAGCTGAGTGAGGGAAAACGGACTGTTATTGGGAAGGACTGAAACTGATGGATGTATTCACTTGTGCCTTCACTTTTCGTAGCCTGCTGTGTATCTCGAGCTGTTCTAAACACCTACATCGGGTGGGTCGTTAAGGCAGTCACTGCTGGAGCATTTAGCAGTGCCAGTGCCTGCCTTCCGTGCTTCTGTGGCGTGAGATAAGGTGGCAGGGAGGCAGAGCGGGGCTGCAGCATTGCCTGTGTCCTCACCCACAGCACTCCTGATGGCTGGCTGCAGCCCCAGCACTGCCCCAGCTTGGCTGTGTGTACATGTTGGCTCATTTCTCCTAGACAGCGAAATAGAAGAGGAGTCCGAAGAAGATGAAGATTATATTCCCTCAGAAGACTGGAAAAAGGTAAATATTAAGGTCGGTTATCAAACTCAATGTTCTGTGAATAATGCGCTCAGCTGCTACCTAGTAACTTTGATCTATAGATCTCATAGCTCTTCTCCTTTTTTTCTCAACAAATGTGAGTGTTTTTTAATAATAATGTTAAAGACCTGCCCAGAAAGTGAAAAATGCATTTCTCTGTAATGCTTATTTACAGATTTGTTTTAGATTTTGAGCAGTGAAAGCTTTTAGAGACAAAGGATCATACAGACATATTTTCACTTGCTGACAACAAACTGCAAGGCTGTGGTTGCTTAACTTTTTGTGTCTGTTATTTCAAAACAGGAAATCATGGTGGGCTCTATGTTTCAAGCTGAAATTCCAGCTGGCATATGCAGATACAAAGAGAATGAAAAAGGTGAGGCTCAACACTTGCTACTGTCACTGTGTGTCAGCTCATTTTCTAGTGGGGAAAAAAGAACAGGTATGTTGGACTCACATCACATGTCTTGCGGAATGCATCGGCTCTGTCAAATGGAGAACAGAACCATCATCTCAAACTGTACCTCATCGTATACTTCAACACCAGAGCTTGAGACTTGGAAGGGGAAAAGAAAGGTGACACTGCTGTCCTATTGAGTCCTTGCATTCTAACCAAGCCTTTCGTATCAGTTATGTTGACCTCTTTGCCTGGTTCGTTCTGTTTATGTGAAACGGATAGTAAAGAAATTGTGCTGCTGGATTAACCTGTTAAAGAGGTGAAATGTCACCAGCAGCTTTGTTTTCACATCTTACAACTCTTCAATCAGCATTAAGAACTTCTCATTCTACTATTTGAGTGTTTTCCAGGAGCTCTTTTCCTCTTACAAGCAGAGCCTTTGGCAGCATGCTGTCAATGCAGTGAAGCAAGGAAAGGCAGACACACATAAACCCAGCCTGAGCTTACAAGCAGGAATTCCCCTGCTTGCTGAACCCGTTACCAAGAGTTTGTTCACACTGCAGGTTGGTTTGAGACTGCAGCTTTTATATGTTAGTTTTAAACTAACCAGCAGAAAACTCAGTGCAGCCTCAGAACCGGAGAACATACACAAGTGGTGACAGTTGTCTTGCTCCAGGTGCCAGGTTGCTGTAGCTGTGCTGCAATCTGGTCCAGCCAGAAAATGGAAACGTGGTCACTCCTGGTCTTGGCCAAGAACAGGTCAGCACTGGGGCTGACCCAGCTCTGGGTTGGTAGCCAGAGAAACTGAAAAGAATGTAGTTTAAAACCAAGTGAGAGGTCAAGAGCTTCCATGAACATGGGAAAACAGTCTGTTAGGAAATACGAATACATTTAACACAACTTTTTGGCTGTGAGGAAGTTGCTCCTTGCGTGCTTTCCTGCTACTGTCTAAAAATAGAGTTGGGGTTACGTATTTACCTGGGATGTGACAAATTATGCTTTATGGCTTGGTCTCCTGCTCTCTCTCATGTTTACTCAGCTCTGAATGGCTTCTGGCCTCCAGCAATAAAAAAGAAGAGCTATTTTATGCATTGCACTAACCTACATAAACCAGTTTCTCATAGCCTCGCACACGGCTCTGTGCAGGATGCAGAACCTGTGTCACGGGCTGAAACCATTGAGGAGGAAAGTTAAATTTTCACCAGTGTTCTGGGGCTGTTGTAGTTCCGTGTACCAGCAGGATTTGTTATCTGTTGCCACTTCTTTTCTTTTTCTGTGCTTGAAATCTTTTTGCCAGGACTCCAGCCAGAATATGAATGTAACTTAGCTAAAGAGTTGACAAATAAATATCTGGAACTGTGTGTTGAGGGATTTCATGCACATATCCCATCTTCTTTCTCGTTCTTTAAGAAGTCTGGTCCTCTTGGATCTCCCTTCATAAACAAATGCACAGAAGTTCTAGCACTTAAGATGAACCACCTTGCTGACTGCTCTGACATGCTCTTCTGAGGAAGGATGAGCTGAGTGTGCTGCATGAAGCTGATGGCTCTGGGCTGTGCCTGGAGGACTAGCAGCTGCTGTTAGATGATTTCGACCAACAGAATTCAAAGATGTATTTTCAGAAGGCTTTCTTTCTCTTCTGAAATAGTTTACCTTGCTGCCATCAGCAAAACTGCGCTGCTTTAATAGAAGAAGTGAAGGTGGGGAGTTGTGGGCTCTGGTTCTGCTGCCTTGTGATTAAGTAGTGTCTGTCAGAAGGACACGCAGGTGGGATTGGTGGAGTTTCGTGCATGAGTCCTAGAATCCAGAGCAGAGATTGCAAGGCAGCGTAAGGTGTGGTGTGTCACTCACAGAATCGTGTTTGTGAGCTGGTCTTTCACCTGCCCTGAGGTATGGATTGATGCTGATGCTCTGAGGTTCCATCAGGGATGGTTTTACAGGAGAGAAAAAGCTTCCATGTTGCTCTTTCAGCTTGCTTCTCTTTTTCCTCTGCTTACTTCAGTGTATGAGAACGACGACCAGCTGTTGTGGAATCCTGATGTCTTACCAGAAGACAAAGTGATTGAGTTCCTAAACGAGGCATCACGGCGCACAGGAGATGAGAAGGGCCTGGATGCCATTCCTGAGGGATCACATATTAAGGACAGTGAACAGGTAAATAACAAGAGGTGGCATTTTTAGCTTAGTATTACAGAACAAATTATCCCTGTATTTTATTTTAATCCCAGCAACTAAAATTGGCCTTGAAACGGCTTGTTTGTTCCTTTTGGAAATACAAATACAATGGTTTTTTCCTCTCAACAAATTTTCAACCTCTAACTTTGACTTAACCTTGCTTCAGGCATCAGCACAGAGTTTTATGTGTAAGTAATTGTGCATAAGTGAGTTCTTTCAATTACAGGGTTTTTTTTAAGCTTATTGAATTTTCTTTAAAAAAAAATAAATTAAAAAAATGTATGCAATGGCTAAAAATGTTGAAATATTTCACTTGAGGATATGCTTGGTTGTGTAGCTGAGAGCTGTGGGAATTTAACCAGGAAATAGCCACTGTGCTGCCTTAGATTGTAATACGGTCCTTCAGAAAGTTTATTCTTCACCTTTTTTGAAGTAAGCCTTAATGATTTATGAAGGATGTTTCTGTGGCACAGCATGAAATCAGTGTTATTTAGCATATGAAATGTATGCCTTTCTGTCCTTGCAGGCGTTGTATGAACTGGTGAAGTGCAATTTTGATACTGAGGAATCTTTACGAAGGCTGAGGTTTAATGTGAAGGCAGCCAGAGGTGAGCACACAAACTGCTTGAGCTCCTACAGTGTTTCCTCTCCTTTTGCTGTGTGGGTGCTGCACACACAGCTGTTCTGTTACGGTGTGACTGCGTGCAAGCATGATGCATCAGTGTTCATTCAGGTGCAGCCTTCAGTGAATCTGTTCTCTGAGAGAAGGAAATTAGTAGCTGTAGTATAAGCAAGCAAGAAAATTAGCTGTTAATTAAGCTTGATATTTATATTTGTCACTTTAATAACAAGTTAAAATTTAAAATGACTTCTTAGCAACTGCACTGTGCATTTCTTCAGCATTCTATTCTTTGTTCTTATAGCTCTGCAGTCATTAAAGTCAATGGAACAAACATGAATAAAATCACATAATTCATAGTTCTAGCTAAAGGAGAGCAGGTGTCTACACCTTTTACAAAGGTATGCCATTAAGAAGACCTCAGTTCTCGTTGGAGACTGAAGCGTTTGCAGTTTTATTATTGGTCTTTGTACTCATTACAGCAACAGCTTCTTCCACGTAGCAGGGACTGTCCCAGGTCTGTAGGCAGTGCACTCCTGCGTGCTGAGCTCCCTGCAGTCTGGGTGCTGTGCTGGCAGCAGCTGTCTGAGCCCTCCTTCCCCTCCCTGCTCCCTGTCCCCAGCTGGCAGAGCTGCTGGCTGGTGATGGCCCTGCCAACGCGCCGCTTCAGCCAGCCAGCATTTCCCTGCTCCCAACTGGAAGGGAGAATCTTCCTTTCTGTAGTGGTAAGCCAGATTTCTGGAAGTGGTTCTCGTTAGTTTGCAGATGGTGTAATAGAGTTGGATGCCACATGTGCTTTCTGTCACTTAAGTTTTCTGTTAGTGACCGTATGCTTTTATGTTACGTATGTTCATTATTGCATTTCCTTGCTTTAGAAGAATTATCTGTTTGGACAGAGGAAGAATGTAGGAACTTTGAACAAGGGCTGAAAGTCTATGGCAAGGATTTTCACGTCATTCAGGCAAATAAGGTATGTGCTGATTTTAAATGTCGTTCTTGCTTTTTCTTTTGGCACATGGAGTCAGCAGAATGCTCACAGCACCTCTTTCCTAGGTACGAACAAGATCAGTTGGTGAGTGCGTAGCATTTTATTACATGTGGAAGAAATCAGAGCGCTACGATTTCTTTGCACAACAGACGAGGTTTGGAAAGAAGAAATACAACCTTCATCCCGGCGTAACGTAAGATGTGCATCATTCTCCTGTGCCTTTAGTGCTGGGTCTGAACTGCACTTTTGTACTGCTCTGACCCTGACATGGAGGGACAGACTGGTGACGCCACAGTCCCAGGTTGCAGTGGGAAAAAAGCCAAAGAAAAGCATACCAGTGTGTATCATGTAATTCCCAAAATACGTTTGTTGGGAGTTAGGCCAGCAGTTTGCATTGAACAGCTCTTTCATGGAATGTGTTTTTTTGCTCCAGTGTTTCACAAATGTAACATTTCTGTAAATAGGAATCCTAGAATGGCCTGGGTTGCAGAGGAGCACAACGCTCATCAGTTCCAACCCCCTGCTGTGTGCAGGTCACCAACCAGCAGCCCAGGCTGCCCAGAGCCACATCCAGCCTGGCCTTGAATGCCTGCAGGGATGGGGCATCCACATTCTCATCAGGGAATGTGTTGTTTTGCTTGAAATACTTGTTTTGCACTAAGGCATTAGTCACAAATTTCGGATGGGATTTTTGAAGCATATTGTTTGGCCAAAACCATATCCTGTGGTAGTGCTTGTTTCACCATGCGTTCCCCCAGCTTTCTGACAGTTATCTCTTCTTCCTGCTTATTGTTTCTGTGAACATTGTAGAGCTACGTGCTGGACCACCAAAGTGAAACTGCAGTACATTCTCTGATTATTCTGTTAGGGAAGGGTGCCTTCCTTCCTTCCTTGTCGCTCACACACCCAACACAGTGAACTTTTTGCACAGGCTGAACTTGCTTTCTCCCTTCTTAGAGACTACATGGACCGCCTCCTCGATGAAAGTGAAAGCGCGGCCTCCAGCAGAGCTCCGTCCCCTCCTCCCACAGCCTCCAACAGCAGCACCAGCCAGTCTGAGCGAGAGGACAGCACCACCAGCAGCAGCAACCAGAACGGTGAGTGCCCACAGCAGAGCTGCAGAGCTCAACATATTGGGATAAGTGATCGTTGCTGCCCTGGGGAGGAGTTCCATGCAGGAGATTAAAGCACAGCGCTTGCCTCATGAACACAGTTCAGTGTAGGGCAGCAAAGGGAGGTAGGAGTGGGAAAAGAGTCAGGGCATCATCCTTGTCAGGGAGAAGAACCTTAAAAGTGAAGGTCAGGCGTTCTGAAAGACCCGAGGTAAAAGCTGTTGCAAGGAAGGAGGTCAGTGTTGAACTGGGCTGGAAGACTGGAAGCTGCTGTACCTGCATAGCTGGGGACAGTGCACCTGCAGCTGTAGTGGGGGTGGCTTCTGGGACTAGGCTTTGGCTGCTGCTGCTTCTAAGGGCAGAGGACACAAACCCACTATTGACCTTTGTGTTCTGTCGGCTTCTGCTTTATTGTTCTGCGCACTTATTCTGCTGCTGCTGCTCCTGTTCCTTTTTCTTACGGTGTCTCTGCCACAGGGCTGTCTGCTAATGGGCCGGGAGAGATTCCAAGTAAGGATGAAGCAAAACCAGAAGGACTGCACGTCAACGGACCTACTGGTGGCAAGAAAACCCCTCACCCAGATCTGGATACAAATGGGTATGAAACTGAAAGTCTTTCCCTTGACCCCAAAGTTGCTCATTCAACTTCAAGAAGTGAAAATGATTTTGAAGAAAAAAATGAAAGACCTCTAAAAAGAAGAAGAATTAATAGCAATGGTAAAGAGAGCCCTGGTTCTTCAGAGTTCTTCCAAGAAGCAAACTCCCATGGGAAGCTGGAAGAGCTGGAAACATTGGATGACTGAATAATCGGAGCAGATTTTATTCCTTGGAGTAAATCTTGGGTGTCTAGAATTTTCAGGGTTGATGGGTTACCTTGCAGAATCCAGTTCCATAAAACACTGCTGAGATTTTTCTAATAGCTTCTGGTCAGCTCCGCAGATCTGCTTCTTTGGTTGTGGCAGTGCTGAAAGGCAGCAGCAGAATATTCTGCTCCTGAGGTGCCAGCTGCAGCTCTGGGAACACGGAGGCACTTAGGAGCATTTGAGCAACAAATCAGTGATTTTCTGTAAAAATGCTTGCAGCCAGCAGGAAATTGGGTGTAAGTTGATGTGAGCATTGCACAGGTGAACAAAGCAGGGGCTGGTTACAATTTCTGATCGTTGGGGGAAGTTAAAAACGAATCCCAAACCCCGAGACGTGCACAGAGTGGGCACAGAGACTCCTAGCAGAGCAGCACGTGTCACCTGGCTGGTAAGGAACCCGCATGAATCCTGAAAGTTACGAGCACAACTATTTTTATATATAGAAGTTTTAAAAGGTAAATAAACCAGGTCAGGTTTGTCTATGTAAAATTGTTGACATCAATGATGTCTTTCCATATTCTTATCTGGGCTAAAGAAATACGTTCTGTATTTTTCCAGATTTCTTTGTAGCCTTTGAAAGATTTTTACAGTACTTCACGTCTTGATCAAACTGTCCTTTCTTAAAACAAAAGCTTGTATAATTTTCTTAGCTTGTACAGTTGGTAAACTTTTATGAGAGAATTGATATCCTGAGTCTGATGTCAGCTTCGTTTTATTTTGCTGAAGTCTTTTCTAAGAAAAAGAAAAAAAAAACAACCACAAAAAAAAAAGAAGCCAAACCAAACCAACTGACCTAGAAAAAAAAAAAGATGCTTCTCAGGCAGCAGGGTGGTGCTGTCTTCTCTAAAGCAGTAAGTCACAAACATCCAGAACGGTTACGAGTCATTTGATTTCAAACATCCTTGTTCTGTGACAGCCGTGCGAAGGATTTGTGAGGCACGAGTTCTTTTGCTTTCCTCCTGCGTTTCCCCTTTTACTTTGAGCTCGGAGCAATCCCGTGTCAGCCCCACGCTGCAGTTTGCCACGCCGTGCTCGCTGAGCTCAGCTGTGAGATCGTCACCTCGTGTCACAGGCGAGGGGTGAGGCTGCGACCCCGCGGGGCTGCATGGTTCCGAGGGAGCAGCGCTGCCACGTGTGATTCTGCAGCTGTGTGTGTGTGCATACGGTGTGTAGCACCACCTGCTGAGGGAGGGAAGTGGCACAGAGCTCTGGCGCCAGGAGCAATGTCACTGCACGTGGCACGGGGCGCTGCTCACCTTCCCACCGGCCCCAGCTGATGTAGGGTCACATCCGTGACACAGAAACATCCTTAATAGCAGTGTTTGTTTCTCTTAAAACAAAGGAACAAAAACCTCACGTTTTGGTTCGTTTGTTTCTAAGCTGCAGCTACACCCCCTGCCGTGTTAAAAATAGGAAAAAGTGTTTGCATCGTTCATAATCTCGCCTCCTCCTGCACTTGTTTTCACTAAAACTATTTGTAAGTTTATGAGGCTTCACAATATCAGCTTTAAACGTGCGGTCCGAGGGTTGGAAAAGCAGCTGCGCAGGGCTGTGCTCCTCAGCCACGGGCACTCAGACTGCGTGCTGGGGGAGGAGCTGCAGCTCTGGGTGCAGCCCAGCTCTGCCAGCACGGGGAAGCGCAGCGCTGTGAGCTGCTGTGCTGTGGAGCAGCACCCACCTGGCATTGGGCAGCAGCTGTGGGGGGCACACAGGTGGTTCCTGCACATCCCACGGCAGGGCTGGGCTTCCAAAGAGGTTGCTGTCGGTTTGGCAATCTCTTCCAGTAACAGAAACCCAAAGCGTCGCAGCCTTCCCATGGAGATGGGCTTCGGGGGGGCTGCAGACTCATCTTTCCTCCTCCAGCCCAGTTTTCTAGTTTATGGTTACGCATTTTTGTTTGCGACTTGGAAATGCTTCCAAAAATTTATAGGAAAGTTTATAAGTAAGTTTATAAGTACGTAAATTGTCTCAGGCTTGTGTGTGAAATACAGCACCGTGTATATTTTCAGGACTGTTGCTTTGTTTTTCCTTACTTTTTCTGGTGATAATAGAAGAGACATTCCATAATCAATAAGTACGTAATGCTCAGCTAGACTTTAAGAATATTTAATTATAATTTGCGTTCTGTTCATGCTGGTGTTTTATATGCAATACCTGTTCACGTCCTTCAACCTGCAGCCACTGTCACTCGATAAGTCATTGCACTACTAAGGCTATTTAAATTAATTCTAGACATTTAGCGACCGGTTTTATTTAGAAAGCATTCAGTACAAGTGGAGCCCAGAAGGTGTTGAACTCGATTCCAAGCTGCATGGGACAGAGCACAGATCACAGCCATGCAAGACGGGGCTCCACGCAGCCTGAGCTGCAGCCACTCACACTGAAGGAGCTCCGTGGGGCGCCTGGAGGGCGGCAGCCGTGTCACCAAGGACACAGCCACGACTTCACCGTTAGTTTTTATACGTTCTGTCACACATAGTAATTTTGCACTGTTAGTTCTCCCCCTCGTCTTAACCCTGTTCCCTGTCTGCAATTCTGACAAAGCTTATTAAAATATTTTTGTAAACATACTGTGTGCATCCCCAATTCCTGCGCGGTGCCATCAGAGCTGGGGCCCAGTGATGGGCAGAGCCTTCCTGCAGCACGTGGGACATGACTTAGCACAGAACCACAGCATGGCCTGGGTTGCAAAGGAGCACAACGCTCATCAGTTCCAACCCCCGCTGTGTGCAGGTCACCAACCAGCAGCCCAGGCTGCCCAGAGCCACATCCAGCCTGGCCTTGAATGCCTGCAGGGATGGGGCATCCACAGCCTCCTTGGGCAGCCCGTGAACAGTGCCTCACCACCCTCTGGGGGAAAAACTTCCTCCTCATATCCAACCCAAACCTCCCCTGTCTCACTTTAAAGCCATTCCCCTTGTCCTATCACCATCCACCCCCACAAACAGCCGTTCCCCCTCCTGTTTATCCGCTCCCTTCAAGCACTGCAAGGCCACAACGAGGTCCCCACCTTCCCTTCCCTCAGCTAAACAAGCCCAGTTCCCTCAACCTCTCTCCCCCGAGGTGCTCCAGCTCTCTCCACCTCTCCTGCTGGCTGGAAGCCTGCACAGCCAGCCCCCAAAGCACACACGAGGCAGGAGGACGTTCATTGCTTTATTGGAAGCCAGTACAAAAATACTGAGGCACATTAAATCCTTTTATTTCTCCCCCTATTACTGACCTAGGCAGCCCGCCGTACATTCAAATAAGGTCATCTTTTAATCACTAAATTGCTCATTTTGTAAATAGATTCTGTATAGAAAAACATTTTAGTAGATTAATAGCATAGAAAATACTGTGGTAGGAACTCTGCTTTCCCAGTGTATGCAATTCCATCCGGACCTGGCACCCAAGTGTGCACATTTACAAACAAAATAAGCTTTTAAAAAATATTTCAACCGTTTGGACAAGAAATCTAACCAGTAGATTCGACAATAAACAAGAAAAGCTCTCACCAGAATAGACATCCTGACTGCAAATGCCTCAGCACAGCAACGTTACAAACGCAGGTGGAGGACGGGGACTTGCAGGGACTGAGGATCCGTCCCAGCGCTCAGATCTGCCCAGAGCTGCGTCCTCTCCCCCCTCCTGAGAGCAAAGCCCTGCAGTGCTGCAAAGCCTGAGCCTTCAGCCATGGCAGGGCTGTGCTCCGGAGCTGCTGTTATCCTGTCCCAGCCAGGGGACAGCAGGGCAGCACACGTGCCAGCAGCACGGCCAGGAGGAGGTGCTGGGAAGCACACGGCTGCTTTAACGCCGCTCACGTCTCTTCCAGAAACAAAGCAAGGTGTACAAAAACCTCACGTGGCTCTACTAAATTCTTCTCTTCCAAAAATTGTAAAGAAGTTTCATTTAAAAAAAAAACAAAAAACAAAAGACAGTTAAAGGAGAGACCTAGAAAGAAGTGCTATGTAAGACAACTTGAAGTCAGCCCCGCTGTTCAGTGCATTAAAACCCTGTTCTGTTAAAGCAAAGACAACAGCCTGCAGCAGCACGTGGTGACAGCCAGCACTGGGGGCACCAACCTCTGCCCCAGGAGCACAGCCAGCCTGCAGGACCGGCACAGCCACCACCTCTGTGCTGTACAACTCCCAGGTGCCCCGGAGTTCCCTGCAGTTCAATCCCTTGCACCACCGACACGAGCCAAGCCTCGGTGTCATTTAACAGCCAGGAATCCCTCACAGTCAATCAGACTTAATCAGATTAATGCTTACGTGTGCAGTCATTCACCTTTCCCATAATTTTTTGAAGGCAGCAATCTGGATTGTGCAAATCAAAGGCCATCACCACCACTAGGCAGCAGACACTCCAACTCCTCTCTGCTCTGCCAGCGCTGGGCTCAGCAGAGCGCACGTTCAGCAGCTCAAATCCGTGCTCACACGGAGCTTTTGCCCTTTATATCCATCTTGCTGCCCACCTCAGCCTGCTTGCTGAGCTGCTCCTCTGTGAAGGTGATGTAGGAATACACCAGGCTTCCTGCAATACTGCAAAACAGCCACAACATGTGTCAGGGGGGGGATTTGTTTAACACAACCCCAAGTGCACTCCTGAGCTGCTGCAGGGCGTGCGTCCTCCCCCTGCTGCAGGAAAGGAGGCACAGGGGATGTTCCCCAGTACAGAAACACCCCAGGGCAGAAAGACTTCTCCAAAAGCTGCACCCAGCTGTTCCTCCTGCCCAGCACAGCCCAAAAAGACACAAAAATCATGAAATAGTTTGGGTTGGAAGGGACTTTTGAGATCATTTAGTTCCAACCCCTGCTATAGGTTCTAGACCAGACTGCTCACAGCCCCATCCAGCCTAGCCTTTAACACCTCCAGGGATGGGGCATCCACAGCCTCCCTGAGCAGCCTGTTCCATCTCACCACCCCACAGTAAACAACTTCTTCCTAATATCCAGTCTACACCGACCCTTTTCCAGTTTAAAATCTCCATGTCCTTACCTGATATTTAGACCAATGAAGTTCATCCATGTAAAAATATAGTCTCCTCCAAAAAACATCCCAATATAGGTTATTAAAATATTCTGCAAAGAAACAAGAATGTGAGTTTTCACACAGCAACCACGCACTGCAGTTCTTAAAGCAGCGCAGGGAAGTCTGAAATACGCAAATGCTGGTAACCCTGGATTACAGGAGGCCAATTTAGAGCCTCTGGGAGACACAGCTTCATGGGGGCCTGGATTCTGAGCAGCCCCAGGTGCCCATAGGGGTGGCAGGGCTGCAGACCCCTTCTTGCAGGGCCAGCCCTGCAGCTAGGCAGCTCACACAGGGCAGAAAACCCAGAATAACACACAGGAGCAGCACAGAGCAGGGAATCCCACGGGATGATACTGGAGGAAGTTCAGCCTCCCAGCCAAACGCTCTCAGGGCAGCAGCCACGTGGTGTTGGAAAGCACAGCGCCGCTGGGCACAGCCCCAGCACTCTGCCAGCCCACGCACCAGCGGCTGCTTAATGCGTGCGACGAGCAATAATTACTGCACTAATTACTGCAACGCTCGCCCCGAGAGCGGAACCGCCGCTTACCTTAATGCAGCCAACTATTGTAGTTGTAAGAGCAGAATTATACTGAGTGCAAAGAACTGTGGAGTACATCAAAATAAACCTGCGGGAAGAATGGCTGCGGTCAGATCCCAGGATGCACTGCACTCAGCTCCCAGTCCTCACCCCAACCCACACCCAATCACTCCCATCCACCACAGGAACAATGTTCATCTGCCATAGGACCGGCGCTGCTGAAAGACAGCGGGACTAGAGAGTCCTCTTCCCAACCCAGAACGACCCAGGCCCCAGAAGGCAGTATTGGAGGGATGGAGGTGCCCCCCCTACAGCCCCATCGTTCTTCCAGCCCCACAGCCTTACCCCATCACGCAGGATAGGGTGAACTGCACAATGAACAGCATGTCTGCCCAGCCCTGGTACTCCATTGCCTGCAAGAAATAGAGGCTCAGAACACAGCAGCAAGACAAGAGCCAAATCCTTGACACGGGCTTACAGAGCACAGCAGCCCTCATCCCGCTGGATGTGAGCTCATGCAGAGTTAACACAAGTGTAGTGGGATGCTCACTAATGCATCCCTCCTTCACCCCAGTTGACCCGCCCAGCTCTCCCTGCAGCACTCCAAAAGCTACAGGGAACAGCTCACAGAGGGGTCTGCAATGTGCACAGCCCCCACTGCTGGGCCAGAGCCTGCAGCAAGGCCCAGCACCACTTGGCACAGATGGGTGCCCTCCATCACTTGCTGGATGCTGGGGCCAGGGGAGAGCAAGCCAGCTACAGCAGCAGAGGGATTGCAGCAGCAGTGGGGAGGTGTGGGCGTGCTGGGGGGGCTGGCAGGAGCCTGGTGCTGTTCAAGAAGTACAGAGCCCTCACCCAGGGAAGAGCAGCCTCAGCACCGGGATGCGGTGGGGGCACAGGGATCTGAGGCTGTAGGGTCACCTCCTTGGGGATCCCCAACCTGACCTAGGTAAGAGACTGGGCACAGCTCTGGGGGCCCAGCTTGGAGACAGAGGTGCCTCCAGGCTCAGCCACGCCAAGATTTGAAGATGAAGGCAGAAGCCTTCCCTTCACAGCAGGGCTGAAAGCAGCCCCTACAAAGGGATGGAGAGATCATGTCCCCTAAGCAATGCAGTGCCCTGTGACAGCATGCAGTGCCTTGTCCCCAGCTTGGCCCCAGCTTGGCCCTGCTGCACTCTACCTCCTCCCATGCTCCACAGGGGCTTTGCCCACTTCAGGGGCTGCCTCCGCCCTGCAGGCTTTGTTTTTAATCCTTGTGGCTGCTGAGATTTCTTAATTACCACCCGCAGCACAGCATAAAGCTGCTCACAGCTGTCAGCACGCACATTTCTCCTCTCCTCAGGGCAGAAAGCCCTAATGCTGCTGCTGCTGAAGGCCTGCAGCCCATCTCCACGTGCAGCAGGAAGCTGTACAGGCACCCAGCAGCCCCGAGCACCTCCACAGCCCAGCTGCAGCGTGCATGGCTGCACGGTCCCCAACAGCGTGGCTTTGTGAGGCCGGCGCCAGGAGCACAGCCGGGGAAAAGAAGTTTATTCAGGGAGGGGAAAAAAAAGCAATAAGAGGAGATTCTGTGCAGCTGAACAGAGGCTGCACAGTGCCTCTGTCCATAAAGAAGTGCTTTATCCTGAGCTACAGCCCCACTCAGCGCTCCACGCTAACCGTTAGCTTAGTGGCTGGCACTGAGGCTCAGCCCCGTGGCAATGAGCTCCTGATGAGGAGCCATTAAGCCCCCCCAGGTGGAACCAGACAATAATTAGGGCAGGAGTAACACAACAGCATGGGCATGCAGGGCTGCAGCAGAGCAAACCATGCAGGGGCAACAGCACTGCTCCAAAGCAACCCAAGGTGTGCTCTGCTGCAGTGACCGACGTTTGCAGAAACCCATTTAGACTAATAACACTCAAATTCTTTGTTTTAAGTAATAGTTGGTTTCACTTATTGCTCTCACACTTCCCCATTCCTCCAGCATTACAAAAATGCCCAAAATGCAGCACATCTGTGCATTTCAAGCCAAGCA